AGATTGCAACCGCAATAAGGAGCAATCTATGATCGGATTGAATTAAATCAGATTGGTGAAAATCTAATCTAATGTAAATACAGTCAGTGTAGAAAAGTTGTAGAAAAGTTTTAAATAAAGCTCTAATCATTGATGAAAGCATCTCTGGTGACTGATAGCATGCCACTGTACTGAAAGAAAACATTTCACTTGAATCACATTTATATTAAAACTACCCAAATTATAATTTAAATAAGACAACCCTAAAGAACTGGTGTTCACACTGGCTAGACATAGCTTATCAGTATTGTGCCAATATCGGGAGAAAATGATGAATGAGATATTGGGGAGTAAAAAAGAATTAATCTAGTACAATTCTGTAAAAATCTATCCTGAAATAGCACACACTCATATTGTGTGATGCGACAACATTAGCTGTGAATTTGTTCCTGTGGCATGGTAGAGTGTTTGAATAGTTAGAGCAAGATAGCTTAATTTTGGTACCCAATGGTTCAGTATCAGCATCAGCATCATAAAATAATAAGTGGTATTTGTGCAATTTCTAGTACTGGCAGATATAAATACAGGAAAATAACATTTAAATGCAATGTCCAGAATTTTGCACAGACTAAACAGGAGAGGTGCAAACATTACAGCACAGAATCAATAGTTGTAGATGGTCATCTCTAAATTCAACTTAAAACAACCAACCAACATTTAAAAGCAATAAAAAATAAATCCATTAAATTTGACTAGACAAACAAATGGGGCACCACTCCCTTATTTTTCCACTATTTTTATATGTACAATACAACTAGCAGATTTGACTAAACATTTTAAAAATTGTCCAAGATTCCAAAAAGATCTGAACTGTGTACCAAACATGTCTTTCCCTCCTAGTTATATTTAAAAAACAGAGAAAAAATAATGCTGCCATTTTCTGCATTTTGACTTTGATTTTTGAATTTGAAGCCATTATTCTGAAACTTCACTAAGTCAGTTTTTGTACCTCAGTAATCTCCCACTTTGTATTTATTTTGAGATTTTCATGTTAATTACTTGTGCTGTTATGGTTAAAAATGGAAAAACACATTCACTCACTTCTACACTACCTTTCACTGCTGACAATTTTCTTGAAAAAGAGCTAAATCTTGTCTGCTTCACCCAAAAGGGGCATAAATTCAAATAAAAAAACTATATCCACAACACAGATTAATTTAGAGAAGATAGGTAAAAGGAACCTGGCACCACAGTAATAGCTGTATTTTCAGAGACAATATATATATATATGAAGTAGCATGAGTAAAGATCAGGGACGGGGGAGTAGCTAAGTAGCACGCTACTTTTTGTAGTTAACTACATTTTTATAGCTAATAGCTGTAGCAGCTACAGTTTTATGAAATGTAGCTAATAGCTGCAGCGCCTACAAATTTTTGTGTAGCCATAGCGATAATTTTCGCTACAATTTCAGTACAAGCTTCAGGTAATCCTCACAAAATGTGAACCACAGAACGCGATCGTTAACTTGGCTGGTAGCGATGTGCAATCCTGACTGAGCCGCAGACAGTTCGAGCAAACGGTCACAACCGAAATGTTAAGAAGAGCCATTTTGTCCTTTCAACAAAAATCAAACCACCTTAGAAACCACACTATTTTATGTCCATTTTATCATCTTGGCTGTATGTCTCAGTATGTGTTAATGTATTAGTATAGGCTAAAAATTAAACAAACAAAAACGTAGGCTTACTTTGCTCTGCTTTAACCTTTAGCTCAGTAGTAGCCGCTTTTCTCGCACCTCAGTCTGGAAACTTTTCCGCTCCACCTTAAATGGTGCCTGAGGCGCCAGATCATACTGCTGCACCATTTAAGGTGGAACAGGAGAATTCGAAAGAGAAGCAGGAGAATGAAAAGTGACTTCAGCTTTGCAAGTTGTTGCAGATTAAACGTATCAGGAAACCAGCTGAGTGCTTATAAATGCAAATAAGTCCATTCATCTCCAAATTATCGATGTTTGTCTTAAATCTCTCTCTTTGCCTTTTCGTTATCTGCATTGCTATGTGACCAGCAGTCTGCATGTCAGTCTTCAGCATTAAAGGTTGGTGAATTAGCAGTTATGCATCAACTCCAGCGTTTAAGACCATTTATTGTGAAAACTGTGTTAGAACTGTGAGTTATAACGATTTTACAGCGGATTATGTAAGGAGGAATATGTAATTTTACCTAAATATCTAGTTCTGCTGTGGAGCCGCAACAGCTCTGCAGCAGTGAAGAGATTATTCAGATGCGCGGGACTGATTCTCACCCCAAACAGAGCCAGGGTCAATGATGAGGATTTTGAGGCTAAAGTGTTGCTGAAGTTTAACAAAGGACTCTGAATGTCATGCCTGTAAATATCTTGCTGAAATGTTTACATTGGAGCAGTTTTATTTCAACAGTTGACAATGCTTTGCACAAAATTCTCTGGTTTGTATTTGGTTATTTTTGTTGATTTTTGTAAGGAAAAACCCGGAATGATCGACTTTGCCTTTAGTCTTAATTTTTGTTGGATATCACACCATTGGTTGTGTACGTTTGATTGTCGGTTACACTTAAACTTACTTTTTGGTGATCTTTTTGTATATTTGCAGCTTTTCAATTGTATGTTTCTTTCTGGCACATGACTAAATGCAGTTTCTTGTTCACACTGTCAGTTGGGCTTGTTTGGCGTGTCAAACATTCTGACAGTCGCGCTTTGAAAGTAGCTAAAAAGTAGTTCACTACTTTTTCTGGAAAACTATCTAAATTGTAGCTAGCTACAACTTTTGGGAAAGTAGCTACAAAGTAGCTAACTACTAATTTTTTTTGAAGCTATCCCAACCCTGACACAGATGAGACTGCTCACTGACATAAGAGCCACAGAGCTCTCTTTAACCAACACTGAGCAGATTGCTATATTATCACAAATCATGACTAGCAATAGCTAGCAAGCCAGAAGATTAAACAACTGGACTGAGGCCTGGCTACTAACTTTAGCTGGTTGACTGATGCTCTATTACCCACTTTTCAGCAACACCCTGTTTATCAACTGTTTAGCACTGATGTGCACAGAGTGCATGCATCTGTACCTGTTGATGTGAACCGATTTCATCTGGCAACTCGGAAGAAACCAATACCAGAGGAAAAGGTGTGTGTGTGACTTTTTGAGCTATGATCTATGACAATTAGTAGAATACATTGACTCATAATATAAAATGACCATAACTACATATAATAAAATATAATAGTAACAAAATAAAGAATAAAAGCATAAAAAAATACAGAATTTGAAAATCTGTCTGGGCATGTGCCTCCCCAGCCTGAATGGGCATGGCACCCCTGGATATAAGTAATTCTCTGTTGCAAATGAAAGCCATAAACACAACATGCTCAACTTTTTTGTGATATGCTCTAAATACAGCAAGAAGATGAACTTCTAATTTAAACAGGTTATGAGGGTAGCAAAGGATGGCTGGTGGAGGACGAGCAAGGAGCGATTTCTTTCTTTAACATCAGACTGAGGAGCTCCACAGGCAGTAGTTCATTCATAACACTCCCTCGTGTGGGAGCTGCACTAACAGGATGCAGCTACTCATGTGAGTGCCTTGCCCCCTTCTCCACCAATCAAAAGCTGGCTGCCTGCTAGGCTGTGCATAAACACAGCCTGTGCCACAGTGGACATATGTGGAGGGTTAAAAATTGCAGTTCTACAAGCTCACATCACTCCAGAGCCATATCACAAGCGGAGCAAGACAATCCACAATATCTTCATAGTCATTATTTCAAAGTTACTAAAATGCATTTTATTTATGCCTGTAATGCCAGAATTCTTCCCCTGGGAAGCAAAAATCCCTCATGCCCCCACAAAGCGTCATCTCCTATTTCCTGCCCTGCTGTGGATGATGGGGTGAGCTGGCAGAAATGGAGTGGCTTAACAAGCCTCTTGTGATTCCGTCTTAACGGATTTTATGCAAATGGCTTTTTCTGTAACCTACAAGACCACAGAGATGCCCACATTAACTTACTGAGTGGGACCTGAATGTACTGTTTACAGATAAAATCATGACAAGAATGCATGGGGAGCAATTACTGTATTAAGCAGAGATGAGACTTAAGAACATCACAGGACAGCCTATCAGAGTAACAATGGCATCTACTAATCACTCTTGAACTGCTTTGGACTTTCAGTTTAGGAGGACGCTACTCCACTTTGCCATGAGCACAACATCCAGGTGCCGCCCACTTTTCGCACTGAAAGCAGTTTCAGACGGTAAACAACAGCCACTCCCCCTGCAGCCAGGTCTTATAGCAGAGTCAGGAGACAAGGGCTTAACATCGTGCTCGATTTTTATCCCTTAAATAAGTACATGCTTTGCATCCAAGTGTTCTTCAAATGCATGTGTTAATCATCATATCCGTATAGCTGGACTGTTGGCCAACACCACATTAATATAGCTAGATAAATGTACTGCATCCCACTTTAAATTGTACTGCATCCCTCCAATTAAAGTTACTTTACCTATCAACTTTGCATGATAACGTATCTGACTGTAAGGCACGACTCCCGAAAGGGGCGTGCTTTCAAAACTCGGTTAGCCAGCAACACTCGCTAAACTTTAAGTAGCTAGCATTTTCCAAGTTGGTAGAGCAGCTACTATAGCCTTGTATACAGTAGTTTAATTGTCGTGCGCCGAATAAAATTTATAGATTTCAAGAAAACGGTCATCTTGACATCTGAGTGTCAGTTGGCATATCGTGTAAACAAACAGCAATGTGCACGCGGTCCAGCGCTTAAATCAGCTTCAAGTACTTAACTGAGAACCTAAGGCGCGTCCACGACTTCACTAGAATAATCTGACCTACATGTCGAATCACACCACACATTTCTGCAAGTGCGTAGTGCGTACTAGCCTCACACAGCCTATGCAGATGCACATACACATAGATCACTACGCATTTCAGGGGTTTAACGAGATTAACTGTAGCAGCTGCTTATTTTACCTTACCTTGTTTGCAGTTTTCCTGTGAGGGCAAAACGTCCTCGACTCTGGACAATATTGGGAGATTAGGAAATCATTTGAGGCTAACCACATGTAGCAAGGCTAAGTTAACCTAGAATTCTTGGGTAGCCTTGTGTAGCAGTTGCTTGTCCGTGTAGCCAACATCGACCTGGCCACGTTGATGGCTGGATAAAATCGTGTCCACTGCTCCGAAGTGACGGTGGCACGCTGAATGTTTTTCTCCGAGAAATCGAAGTAAAAAGTAGCACTTGTCCAATTCACTCCAAAATAGGACACCTCTAAAGGCATATCATGGTATTCAAAAGAAGTGCGATGGCCGCCTGCGCAGTTCTTGGTTTACTTCCTAAAAATGTTGTTTCGAGACTTCGTACCAGCGACGAGTGTCGTTTGTAATCCAAACTACGGATCACACTATCTAGGTGAAAGAACCCGCTATAACGAGGTGCACTGCTAACTGGGTAGCTGGCACGCAAAGCTAACAACCTGAATTAGTAAAACCATGACGCATTTCAGTAGCAGCCCAGGTCCAATTTCGTATGCGACAATAAAGTCTTATTACATAATGTCTTCTCCCAAGATCAGACGAAATTATTTCCGTAATTACAATAACCTGAGTTATATGTTGCAAGCTAACTGGCTCATTTCTTTGGCAACCCTTTTCCTAAAACATTTTGCCCCGAGATTGCTCGCTTGCTCCCCCGCTCTCTCGAGCTCTCCCTCCTTTGCGATTGCACAGGCGTACACTGGGTCTTACAACAAACCTTACAACAAAAATAAGACCATACTTAAAACTCTTTTGGCGCCATATTAATGACGTACTAAAAATGTCCGTTGTCAGTGAACATCCAGAGAGCATGCACTTGACGTGCAAGATACACAACAAAACAAGCATTGTTTACGTACCTCTAAAGTTTGTTTTAACGAATGATAACCAAAAAGAACGTCAGCAGTTTCTCGAATCTGTAAATGGGGCGGTTCATCATACAGTAATCGTCCATTTTACAGTGAGCCCTATGGGGGGAGCCATCAGCAAAATAATTTTTTGCTAATATGACTGGGACGGTTCAGGTGAAACAACACAACTTCAGGACCAGCTTAATGTTGTTCGCCTAAACATCGTATTTGTGTTAACTTATGCCTTGCTCCTCATTCTTATTAAAGTTTTTCGTGATTTTGACCGAAATATTCCTTTGGCGGTTGAAAAGGACACGGTGAATAAGGCCTGCACACATATGCATCCTGCAGTGGCCAAATTATTAATCTAAATCGCTTATCCTCCTAGGTCGCGGGACAGTAAAGATGCTTCAATGCGTTTGTTTTGCATTGACAGCTCTATTTGGTAATGATAAGTTATATTTCCTGGACATTGGGAGTAGAAACTGCAACTTGCTAAGTCATATTCATAAGTGAAGTTAGTTGTGAAACTGAAGTAGAACCCTATCACGAACATCAAGCCTAAACATGTGCTTACACAGAGGAGAATTTCCCATTTTTCAAACTGAGAGTCACAAAATATTAACCTAGCTGCCCGTGTATTACAGAATACAAACGCTAGATGGAGATATAAAACATACTTGTCTTTGTAGACCTGGTACTATTGTGTTATTTGTTTAATAAAAAGTGTTGTTTAAAGGTTGAAGTCATGAATGCTGGCTGATTGATCTGAAATTTGGAGCTCACAAAAACTATATAAATACATAGCTGATCATAGTACTCATATGAATTATTTAATTCAAATAATATTTTACATATTCAGAAAGGCACTAAAGATCAGTATGATTGATTGATTGATTGATTGATTGATAAATAAATAAACAGAATTTATATGTTCTCATGTTATGGACCCTGAAAGCATATTCCCTGTTCAGCCATAATATACTTTCTGCCTTCATAAATGTAAGTATGAACCCCCACACATAGCCTGCCATACAATCCCCACACATAGCCTGCCATACAATGCCTAATTAGAATGCAAGCCTGTTTTAATAAAATACTGGTACAAGTACATTTTTGTTCAACAAGGTACAAGTACGAGTAAATGTACCCTCAAAGGTACTACATGGTCCTTAAGGTCTTATTATGTACCTGGGTTTTAAATGCACACTATATTCACTTTTCCTGGGGAAAGGGACATAATTGTACCTTTTTAAAACATAAATAGAGAAATAAAATAAAAACCCTGTTGTTGAAATGGGGTAAATGGGGAGTCGAAAAATAATTGCAACAGAATATGGTACAATTATGTTTCCTAACTAAAGATACTGCAGACGTACCCTTGAGGGTACCACCCCAGTGACAGCATTGCAGTTCACATATCACATATTCTCCTCTCTTCCTCTCTATTTTCTGTTGTACTGATTCATGAGTGAAAGGCTGGTCACAAATTTCATGTAGCAGTCTTTAATAAATCTCACATACATCAATGTAATCATGGCCTTCTCAACACTGCAAAAGTAGAATTTCCCCAAACCCTATATGTGTTAAATAAAAGGAATTACTTTAATTATTTACTTCAAGTAGCAGCAGATACCTTTGTGACAAACAAGTCTACATTGTCTAGAAAACAAGGACGAGAGAAAAGAAGCTCTTAAGTTGGAGCAAGTGCATAAATCAGTTACAACCTCAAGGTTTTTTTTTTTTTCAAAATGATAACAGTTCTTTTTATCAGTCAAGAAAGCAGATAGATCTAAACAATAGACAGTAGGCTACTGAGGTCTTAGCCAAGAAAATTGTTTACAACTTCCAACCTGAATTAAAAAAAAAAAGTTGTCACAGTATGTGAAATTTAAATAAAAACAGAAGACAGGGATTTGTAAATTTACTTTGACTTGTATTTAAACAAACACAGTACGAAGACAAGATAGTTAATGTTTTACCTTACCAACTTCATTTTTTCTTTTCTAAATATACAATCATTCTGAAATAGAGGCCTGCAACACAGTCCAAAAAGCTGAGACAGGGGTAATTTAAGACTATAAATGTTGTGAAATGTTCGAAATCCTCTATAGTAGGCAAAACAGTGATGCTTATGTTTAGAAGGAGCTTCCACGAAAGGCCTAGTCCTTTATGAGCGAGGAGACTTGAAATTAGAAAAAAAAAAAAAGCCTGTTATTATTCCAACAACAGAGGTGTAAAGAGTACTGAAAATCCCTACTGAAGTACAAGTACTGTTACTGTAGTGATAATTTACTCAAGTACAAGTAAAAGTATTAGTAAATAAAATTACTCAAGTAAGAGTATATAAGTAGTTCATTAGAAACTACTCAAGTACTGAGTAATTTTGTTACTTTTTCGTATTTCCGCTGTCACAACCTGAACATATTTCTGAGCTACTCGGCTACATCACTGGAAATAATCTGTACAGAAAAACACTAAAGCTAAAGTTCTGAGAGCTGAGACTGATCACAGTTCGCTCTGCTAGAGCACATCTACACACCTTTCTGTGAACTGTGTAAGGAACAAGGTTTACATTACACTGCATGCATTTCATGGTTTGATGATTATATAAAACTTAGTTTATCTGTTTCCAATAAAATGTTTTAGAATCGCTGAAAGACTGTCTGGAGGTTGTTACTGTTTAATTAAGTTCATTTAAAAGAAATAAACAGTTAAAATTCTGAGTATATCACACCTAGTGTGCTTAACTAATAATGTAATTTTAGTGATTTTAGAGTCCTGCTGCCGATCAGCTCCCTGGACTCTAGCTTACGTTAACAGGTGTGACCCTCTACAGACAGTAAACACATTCACAGCCTTCACACTGTATATTTTCACTGATATCTGTTCAGAACATTTACACCATTAAAATCAGCAGCAACAGCAAATTACCCAGCTTTGATTTTTACTGTAATATATTTCACTGGTAATCATACCAGTGCAAATAATACCACTTACTGCATACAGAATCAGACATTATTACTGCATTTCACAGTTAAACAGCTACACAGACTCTCACAGTTAAAGACAAACACCCAGACAGACAGAGAGAGAGAGAGAGAGAGAGAGAGAGAGAGAGACAGAGAGAGGAAGAGAGAGAGAGAGACAGACAGACAGAGAGAGGGAGAGAGACGAAACTCATTAGTAATACTGAATACAAACTGACCGACTCAGAGAAAATGAAGATTTTACTGGGAGAAAGGTTTAGCAGGACAATTCATTCAGAACTGCCACAAGATCAGAGAAGAAAATGTAACACAGCACATCTTCAGTTATGTAATTAATATTTCTAATTCCTGATGTTCCAAATGCATTACATTTTTCAAATGTACCTTGTTTGTTTTATTTTTTATCATTATTAATAGTAGTAATGGTAGTATTAATAGTAGTAATGGTAGTATTTTATTTTATTACTTTTGGCATGTCCATATTCATTCTGTGCTTATGTGTATTACCATATTTATATTTCAAACTTTATAGCTTTGTTTAAATTATTTGTCCATATGCACTTTTGATTAATTAATTTATTATTTTATTCATTATTTATTTCTATTAATTTGAATTTTAATAAAATTTAATTTAACATGTATTTACAGCTTTGGCAAAATAGGTGTCACATCCTGTCATGCCAATAAAGCATATTTTATTTGAGAGAGAGAGAGAAAGTTAGAGAGAGAGAAAGGAAAAGAGAGACAGAGGAAAAGAGAAAGAGAGAGGAAGAGAGTGGGGAAGGAAGAGAGAGACAGAGAGAGAGACAGAGAGAGGGAGGGATCAGATCAGGCCAGTCAGCTTAAAGAACGACAGCGTGACAGAATCCCTGTCCAGAGTTGATGAAAAACCGTATTAGACTGCATTTCTTGTCTCTCAGCCGTAAACGACCATTTATCTCCTAACAGCAGCTAAACTAGGCTGTATAAACGGATAAACTGCAGGCTGTGGGCGACACTAAAGTGTGTGAGAGGCATTTGTGATAAAATATACGCAGCAGATTTAATAAACAGTTTAATAAACAGAATCATTATAAAAGACAGAAGAAACCCGTAAACACGGTACCTGTTTAGCTCGGATCAGCTAGCTCGGCTAACGCTGCCTCAGGCTGGAGTCGAGCTGTGAGAGCGGATCTCAGCAGGTTTCGTGTTTGGCCGCTGATAATAACTCCGTTTTCTTTAGTTCAAGTTAAATGAACACGGATGACCGTTTGGACGCGGCCTGTTCCTCATGTGTGCTGGTTCAGTTCTCATCTGTCCTTTTCCACTAAACTGGTCATCTCTGTAAGTTAGTGTTTTTCCTGCCGGAGCTGCGGTTTTTTGATTGGTGAATCTTTCAGATTTAACCGCACGTCATTCTTACTGGTTTCTGAGCTGATTCGCTCATCATTTATTTTTACTCTGTAACGTGATGAAAATTAAAGTAGTGAAGTAAGAGTATTTCATTAAAAATGAACTCAAGTAAGAGTAAAAGTACTATGATTTAATTCTACTCCAAAAAGTACCGTTACAGGGAAAACTGTACTCAGTTACAGTAACGAGAGGAAATGTAATTCGTTACTTACACCTCTGTCCAACAACAAGCAAATTTCATTGGCTATTGCACGAATCCGTGCAGATTGAGACGTTGACCAGTATACACTACTAGATTAAGCTGGACCAGCATGGATGCATGCTGGTCTGTGCTGTTTTTTATTTTTTTCAGCATTAACATTTAACATTTTGGAAGCTGTATTCGAGCTGGTTAATCCCCCAGCCAGTAGGTGGCAGTAAAATGTAGTTGGACAATAAGTTACCAGTTCAGTGAGCGAATTTTACCTTTATTGTGGGCCCCGTCCGGTCAACGTGTGGACAAACCATGGCTGCGTCTGGGGATATAGAGCAATTTATTGAACAAAACAGGCATTTGTCAGATATTGTAGAGTCATTTCGTACAATTTCCGAGAGCGACAAACACTGGGAATCTAGGAGAGCTTTCATTTTTAGAAACATAAATGACTACGAAGACCCTCACTTGGATCATCTTCTTGCTTTGTCAATGGTGTGGGCAAACAATGTGTTTCTTGGTTGCCGGTGAGTACTGGTGTTTTTGCTAGTAGTTTCTGTTTTTTTCTTTCTATATTTATAGCCATATATTTCTAACAAAATTTATAATCATGGTGTAATGTTTATCGGATATGTTTTATGTCACCGAACTCCGCCAACCAGTTTCTCATAGAGAGTGATGCATAGCTTAGCTTTTCTTTTGCGGTTTGGGTGACATTTTAACGAACGCTTCTTTTTGAATAAAATACAATTTCTAGATCACGCCTATATCTGTGTACACGCAGTTGATTTCCTCCAAATCGTTTCAGTGCATTTAAATACATAATTTTATTGTTCACGTTAACTATAAATATTGCTTTGGAAAAAAAATAGTCAATCGCTCCATAACTACTGTGTCTAACATATACATATCTGATTATTGTGTTGTTTACTTTGAGTTTACTTTTACTATGTTGGTGGCCTTTTTCGATAAGGTAAATTAGGCTATCAAAATATTCTATCTATAGTTTTAATGTTGGTAGCAGTTTCTTGTAAGGTGATCTAGGCATTTAAAATATCCTAGCTCTAGTTTTATGCAGGAAGCTACCTGTAAATATATGCTATAGTAGGACTTTTAGACAGGATAGGAACGTAGCCAATGGGACAGGGGTGTCCAATCTTATCCACAAACTTGTGGCTGAAAGTTTTCTTTCCACCAAAGCAGGCTTCATTTGTTTGAAGACTGAGACCATTTTATTAAACACCGTAGAATCAGGTGTGCTCCTGCTTGCTCGGAAGGAATACCTACTGCAGATAAGATTGGACGCCTCTGCAATAGAACATGAGTAGAGAGACTAATAAGCAAAAGAAATAAAAAGAACAAGACATTGAATTTGGTCATTCCCCATGGGGGCAATCAGACCACAGTCTGGCCATATTTTGGGCAGCCGTGCTGTAAGTGTTGCTTTACACTGGGACATGCTCTGAAAACCATTCTGTGAAGATACTGACAGGCTAACAGGGCTGTCAATGCTGATTGGATCAAATCAAACCCATCTGCAGCTCAACATTGGAAGCAGTATGCAAAAGGAGTCAGAACCTCTTCTTTCTTTGTTGTACGCAGGTCGCAATTATATTCTTGTACCTCTTATAAACTCCAGTTATTACACATTGGTTTCAGCATTGTTGTGTAACAGTACTGTAGGTTTCATTTCAACATTTGGGCAGACACGCTGCTCAGACCACTTGACTCATCATATGATAGGCATGTGAAATATAATAAGCATTTTGTACTAAATATTAGCATTGAGTATATGTTACCTTAGGAATGTGCCAATAAACGGTTAAACTGTTGTTTTAACACAGAGAATCAGTCAGATACTTCAGTGTTCTTGGTTAACAAACTGCATTATAATAGTAAATATTTCTGATAAGTGGAGAAGTGATAGCATGTTTGTTTAAATATTAGTTATTTAAAGTGTTCAAGGTAAGAATGTTCAGAATATTGAATAACCGTTTATTGGCACATTCTTAATACTCACACTTTGACTCTCAAAAAAGTTCTAATTCATAGATTTACATGCACAGATCTATGGTCTCTAACACAGATGAGTGTAGCTGCTAGACAGAGGATTGACAGAAAGAAGTGCAATGACAAGGCTGTAATGGAACGTCTATCAACTTCAACAAATCAAATGTCATTAGAGTGAGAGTCAACTGAACATTTTAATGTGCGGTTGGCAGGACCATGTGCGGTTGGCAGGACCAACAGGAAGCTCAAAAATGGATTGGTCCAAAACCTGACACCTGGCAACCCTAGGTAGACATGCATAAATGTCATGCCAATGCAGAAGTACATTTTTTAGATTGCTTGAACTACTAAACTAGCTAGCTAACTTTCACTAACAATCTAGGCTATATCATTAGTCTTTATAATCCAGGGAAAAGCTACAGCCTGCAGTAGATCATAAGATGGCAGTGTCTTACATTATTACAAGGGATCTGCTTAATTTACCTTACTTTTAAAAAAATATTGACAGTCTTGAACATTACAAAAGTGGAACTGGCTCAGTTCGCTACATTAAAGGAACATGAAAGATGCTGATTGTTAATGATCCGCATTCCACATGCATCTTATGTGCACAGTGATGTAAAGACATGGTTGAAAATATGGGTTACACTAGGGATGTATCATTATTGATACTAGCCAATACTGTGCTCATTTAATTGTACTCAAGAGAATTCAGATACCAACATTCCGATACCCGCTGCCACCGTGTGACCATGGAAATCAAACACAAAGTCGCTTTAAACATTCTGCCTTTGCATATTCCAAGACCTACCCATCCTACAATGTGTTATTTTAGCCCGTTATCAAACACACAGGCACAACTCGACAAGAGCTAGAAAACAGGCAAAAGAGTCGACATTTCCTACCAACAAAGTCCGTATACGCTGACTTTACTCTGTTTGACTAAATACAATAGCGAGGTATAAACGTTAATACAGTGTGGTTTTGTATATAAATATATTTGTTAGCCCCCTTTTACCCTGTTCTTCAGTGGTCAGGACCCCCATGGACCCTCACAGTGCAGGTACCATTTGGGTGGTTCTCAGCACTGCAGTAACACTGATGTGGTGGTGGTGTGTTAGTGTGTGTTGCACTGGCACGAGTGGATCATATGTGTGTGCATCCCCCTGCCCCATTCAATGAGCAATATGTAATATATTTACTCTAGTAAATCATTAAATTACCATTATATGTCATTAGAAGTTAAGGAAACGTGCTAAGTGGAAATACTGGCTTCTCTGATAACAATGCTACAGCCTGTATGTTCTCCTTTGAAATTCACATTCTGGAGTGGAAAGTCCAATTTATTGGTGGTGGTCCGGCCCACTGCCCATTTGCCAGTACCATTTCAACACCCCAGACTGCCACATATGAAACCCATTGGCAGGCAAACACAGCATGCTGCAGCCATGGAAGTAAGCAAACAAACTGGATCCCAACGTAAAAAGGCTCGACATCCTCATAAAAAAAACAAAAACTCCATGATCAGAGACATAGTAAAACTTGAATAAATGGATTAGAAAGATGGAGACAGTTTAGAGCCCAGAAGGCCTTTAAGATGTATGTAGAGTTCGAGAATTTTCACTCTAAAATCTGTCTTGCTGGGTAGCATGCACTTGTGTTTCCTGCACTGGAAGCCGCTTCGGTGGTTATTTTAAGCGGTTTCTCTAGTCTTCTCTCGTATTTGGACTGCCAATAAGATCGGTTTCCGAAATCGGTTTCCAGGTCATATAGGAGAGGAGGAGAATCAGGCCCCAGCTTTTGCCTTCCATTGCATGCCACCGGAAGTAATCTGCTTGGGCATGAAAGAACCATTTGTGAGAAGCTCTCCAGTCACTTCCATTTATTACAGGCTGATTTCAGTCCAGTAATAAAGGCACATGTAAGCCATTTTAGATCACATCATGGCCCTGTCTTCTTCTACAGAGATTGGATCCACAGGCCTGTCAATCATTTTATAGCTTTCAAATAAACTATTTTTAGTGACTTTACAGATCATTATGTGATAAACCTGCTACTCCAAACACTACATTGTAATGTTTAAAGTAGAAGCTCCTCAACAACGTAAAGCATGGAGAGGTTTCAGTATATTATTATTATTATAATAATAATAATAATAATAATAATAAGACATGGTAAATGGTAGTTCTTAACAATTTTAAACAAAATTCAGTGTTTTGAAGTTAATTGATGCACCAAAAACAATGGAGACTGGCAAACACAGTACATACATTCATAAATGCAATTTTATTGCCTTTGTTTTTTCATAATTTTTTTGTGTACTTTTTTTTATTTGTGTATTTATTTGTGTTTATTTAGTAATATATGAATTTGAGTTATGCTTTGATTGTATAATGATAATAGTTCAAGCTTGTCAAATTATTATTACTATTTTTTAAATAATTCATTTTACAGTAATCAGAAAATGCAGAAAACTGCTTTATGTTTGCTGGATAACAGTTTGGGATTACAGCCACTGTTAGCAATGGCTTCTAGCTAGCAAAATATAAGGCAAAGTCTATCAAAGTCACACTATATGTACAAGTTCTGATTTCATTTTAAAACATAAATATTACAGAAATCACTAGCATGTTTTACAGAGACTGCTAGTTATAAGCAGCAGCAGCAAACACACATACAGCATTTTAGCTCTGTTTAAATGCTTTTATACTAGTCTTTGACAATATCACCACAAATCGTAACTAAACAACAAGACGAAAAGTGGTTGCAGGCTCTGTAAACGTAAATATTATCCTCTTGGTCTTAGATATGATTAATTATTCAGGATTTCTGTAAGACAATATGGCTATTTAATTAGTTTAATTAGTTAAGATAACTTAGAATCTTTTTGGGACAGAGACAGAATTTCTAATCTTTGAAATGGATTACCTTGCAATCTGCGTTGTGATGCTTTTCCCTTTTGAAATAGTGCAGCTCTCTCGCAGTGCTAACTAGAAACCATTGCTAACAGCGGTTATTATCCCAAACTGTTATCCGGCTAACTTAAAGCAGCTTTCTGCGTCACATTTAGCGAGTTTTATGTGTATGTCCTTAAAACAATCTTTAAAACTTCTCCTACATCAGCTCAGTATGAATAACTAACATTAGCTGGCACATTATGTAACACGGCATGGCTCTCCAGGAATAATGGTTTTAAGTGAACAGTGAACCGTGGATGTTATCTGAAGTACTTCTTCAAAAACTGTAAAGAAACTAAAAGAATGGCTATGTGCTGCTCATATAAAGCTGGGTTTCCGTAAACTGCTAATGGTAGCTAAATAGCACCTGTAGCCTGCTGGCCTATTATTAGCTATAAGATAGCTTAAACAAAGTCTTATCAAATAGACTTTACAAGTTTTGCTTTCCTTTTATGTTTTTTTTTGTTGGCATGCTGTAAGTTTGTCACAGAGACTGCTCCACATTAGCCAGCTGGTGCCAGCAGCTATTGAAAGCTCCCTTGTCTGGGAATAAAACTACA